AGCACAAAGTAAGCAGAACCAAAAAAAAACCCCATACCCAAACTGCTTTTCTAAGCAGGAGTGCCTCACTGAATTAGTCACATTTGAGAGAAATAAGGAATTTTTTATTAGAAAAACAGTTACTGTAGTAAAACTGCTGGGGAAGTACTTTGTATGTAAATGCGGTTACTTTCCTTACCTTTTTCAGTAATAGTGCTAGCAGTTCTATGAGAATGAAAGATGGAGATAATAGTTCCTGAGGAAGTGGATGATTCTTGGTGTTGGGAATCATGACATGTATAGGTGTGGTGCTGTGCGAAAGCGTACCTCCTCGCAGCTTGTGTCGTGGTTGTGCAGTAGGGGGAGTTCCCAAGTTAGTTTGTTCTCTCTTATGAAGACCAAAAATATTTATATGTATTTCAAAAACAAAGTGAGAAAATAATGTTTTGCTCCCTGGCTTGGTGTTGTGTGTTGCCTGTGGAATGAACAGACAGTAACAGGAAAGCAGGGTGTGTGCAGCAGTGAGGTGGATTTCTTGTTTATGCATTACTACATACTCTAATGTTCGAAGAATTACTGGCTTGGAGTAACAGTGACAGGGTTTGCTGTGGCTTCTGTTTTTTTAAGGCACTTGAGATTGGTAACTCGAAGGAAAACGAAGGTGCTGTATTGAGCTTATTTTGACTAACAATTCCAAGCCTACTAATGTAAACAGGTCTCAATAGAAAATGTAGTAGCTCTGTCTTCTGTATAATCTATTTTGTGACTATAGTATGTATCTAATTTGCTTTAGTGCTGATTCTAGTTATGAGTAGGACTGCAGAGTGTGGAGGGAGTCTGTGTGTTTATTTCACAGAGGAGACTTTCCTATACAAGACCTTCACTCAGTGAATATCAGTATTACACAAGTTTGTCAGAGATCTTACATAAACCTTCTAAAAGATGTTAATAATACTTTGAGTTTAAAAAGAAGTACTGTCTCACATCCAAAATCTGTCTTCTGGCAAAAATTAGGGTAGAGAGAAATGCTTGAGAAAGCATTTAATATTCTACCTGACTTTATAGTGTTACGTCCTGATCATGTATTTCTGACTGATACCAATTATCATTTTCTTTCCTGAATCACAGCGTTTCACTTAGAATAATATTCTTTGTTGTAGTATAGTATCTAGCAAAGTTAAACATCAGTGCAATTTTTAGTGGTTTGGTTGCTTTTTAAAGGTAGCCACAATACTTTCCTCTGAATCCCCATTTTAAAAGAAGAGTTTGATCACAGCGTGGCTTACTTGTTGTGTCACCTGATAAAGGGACAGGTGATACTCACCTGATAAAGGGACAGCTGATACGTCAGGGAAATAACTCCACAGTCCCTTTCCCTTAAAAAGTGTGCAGTCCAGAAATGACAGAGTAGTGGAGGTCTTGGAAATGGTTTGTAGACCTTTAGCAGGTGAGTATTTAAGCCCAGAGAAGGAAGAGGTGTGGGAATGTGAGGTGAAGGGTGGGTGCAGGCGTGGAACCGTGGTGACTTCTTCCAGGTCTGATGTACTCAGAGTATCTGTGTAAGTAAGCCTTCATTACTGCTGGCTGAGCATCCATGAGGAGAGGTCAGGAAAAGTGCTCAAGCCTCTCAAGATAGCCACTGTGATGGGAAATTTTGCTGTAGATTTTTTCCTTTATTATATATAATGTCTTCTTATTTTTGTGCTCTGTTATTTCTGCCTTTACTCTGTGCATCTCAGTAATAGCTGTCTTACGATTTGCTTACCAAAAAATCACCTTCCTGAGTAATAGTGGGGAAAGACTAGGGCTTGGCAAAAAGTTGAAATTCATGTCAGCAGTAGAGATATTAAGTAGAAGTTTCTATTGTTTATTCACTTTTATTATTAAAAAAAAAATCGTATCCTATACAATATTTGTTTCTTTTCCAACATGAGAAGTTTCTGCAAGAGAAAAATACGGTGATCACTGAGGACAGTGTGCAATAATTACAACATCCATTTTTTCCTATTATTATTTTTAACTGTTAAAGCCACAAATTGAAAAATGTTTCCTCTATTAATCTTCCCCCTTTTACCCTTACTGAAAGAGCATGATTTTGCTGTGTGAAGTTGCTATTTATTGTGTTTGGTCACTTAGAGTGCGAGTGCTGAATTCTTGTCACTCTTGCCTATACTGTGCTACTTAATAGGTAGTGATTTAGCAGTCAGTTGTTCAGCCATGTTAAATTAGCCCTAGAGATAAAATTGGATAACGTCCATAGTTGACATTTCTTTTAACATTGGAAGGGGAAGGAAAATCATTAGCATGTATTAAGTAATAACCTGTTGAAATTCTCTTGTAAACAAGACACGCATGTTCACCTCAAGACTTGTTCCAAAATTGTATGATGCTTTAAAGACTTTTTTTTAATTCTGGTTGCCTGCTAGGAAAATTGTTTACAACATTGGAAGAGGTTTATTTTGGACAAGAAGGAAGTTGGAATGCCTGGCTTCGTTGTGTGTTCTAATGTTCACTGTCCTTATCAGGAGTGAATTACATTTTCCTTGCATATCCATATGTGGAACAATATTTCCTTAGTGCTTCATGTTGCGTGGGTTTATTTTTTTATAACCATTGTTTTTGACATTTCCATGAAGTAGGCAATTTTATTTCGAGAGACCTCTTTTTAAGCTTGCGTGTAATCTTTTCTGTGATGAAGGATTAATAAGGTCCAGGCTGTAAGGTACAGCAGTTACTGAGCCTTGCTGCCGTTGCTATGGTTAAATATGTATGTGCTTTTTGAAAGGGAGATCTCCTCTTGTCCTTGAATACACATCTAAACTGAGTACATATGGCACCTCTAAGCACATGCCATAAAATAAAATATCTCCCCCCTTTACATACAGCAAAACATAGGGTTTTACACTGCGCAGCAGATGCTTCTGCAGAAATTCTGGGTCCTTGTGTGCCCATTGCTTGGGAGGGTCATCGTAACCACTCACCTTCAGTGTTTCAGGGCAGAGACGCTAAGGTAAGCTGATGAGTTGATCACACCCTATGTCACAAAAGGCTGAGAAGGCCTCTCTTGTGCTGAAAGAGCAAAGCATAGATTTGGGTTCAACCAACCAAGGTGAACAAATGCATCTGCATAGTGTAACGAGGGGACAGCTTGTGTATTCCTGGTGGGGTTACTGTTGCTTGCTCCTCTCAAGAAAATCTACTAAGAGATAATTATGTTCTGTGCCAACTGTTTCTGAGTGGCCCTCAAGGATCTAACCCTTGGAGAGACTGAATTATGTGCTGGATGAAGATCACAGATCCATAACTAATTGTCAGCAGAATACACACAATTGGTAAACCGGGAAGTCAGAAGGAACATGTTATCTGATTTTTTTCCCTGCTGCCTTACTTCAAGCTTGTCCCAATACTCACATGCAATCCACTCAAAAATGTTTTTCTGACTCCAGCCATAATCTGGCTTCAAGTTATTTAACCTGCCTCAAATATCTTGTACTGCAATTCTAAATCTTGGACTGTTGTTGCAAAAATCTTGAGATCTGTGTCATATGAAGAGGCTGTGTGGTAGTCTGGAGTTTCTTTATGATAACATGATTATCACCAAGTTTTATATTCTCTGCTGATTACATATTTTTCAATAATAAAATCCATTACTCACAGTGTCTTTTAGAAAGTGGGATTTTATAAATTATATTTTATAAATTGTATTTTATTTGTATGGAAATAAATTTCTTCATTACCTTGTATTGACAGGCAAATGTCTTTATTTGTGTATTCACATAAACACATATGCATTTTTTTCCATCTCTGAAAATTCTCTGTACTGTATTTAGCTACACCACAAGATGTATCAGATGTGTAAGTGGATTTCTAATGCATAAATAAAAATTCATCAGAAATATGTCTGAGGGGAAAAAAGGTAATTGAAGGGAGCCATTGTTTGAAAAGGGAGAATGATGAAGGTGACTTTGTATTTTGGCTACTACACCTGGGATAAACCCTTTCAGTGTTATGCAGGATCCCAGTGTAATTCCAAGCAAATAGGACTTGAACATCCACATATTGAAATCACTAAATAGGTTTCTATATTTAAGTTGGACCAATATTGCTTCTAATTAAAAACTCTCTTACTGCAGCACTCAGTGCTTGAAAAGTCAGGTTAATGTAACTTGAGGTGAGCTGGCAGTTGAAGGAGAGAAAAATCTTTTTTAGCTTTGTAACTGTTACTCTGAACATAAAAGTTTCTGATGTTAAATTGTTTGTCATTCTTGTAGGCACACCTTAAGCAATTGGGGTCTTTCCACTTCTTGTTTTTAAGATTAAATCTGAAACTCTTTACAGGCTAAAGACCAGCTAAGTTGCAGTTACCTGCAGGTGTATATTCCAATTTTTCAGTGCATCATGGCATTGATACCCATCTGGGTATAAGCCAGCTGAGTCCACAAAGACAGTGGTGATTCAGAAATTCTTTTTTTTTGGGGGGAAGGAGGGGGAGGAAGTGGGAGGAGGGGTGGGATTTGCTGCAGATTGCCCGTGCAGCACATTTGCGGTAAAGCAAGTACACAGTGATCCAGCCCGGGTTCCCATGGCATGCTCAGCCGCTGTTAATAAACCTCACACAGAGCAAAGGTGGCATTTCTGGGGCAGCATCCCCATCACTCTAGGAGGAAGTGTCACTTGGGGCAGGGAGCTGCCTGCGAGCCAGCCTGGATCCCTCAGCGTGCCTGGTTCATGGCCCCCTCCCTGACCCTGGAGCACCTGGCAGGGAGCAGGCAGGCAGCTCTGCAAAAACTGGAGCAGGTCTGACTGTGCCAATGTCGCTGACTTGATGCTGGTCATGCCAGATGCAGGTCGTCTGGACATCGTCACTCTGATCCTGCTGTGTGAGCTCTCCTGTTACTGCATATAATGGAAAATGGGTTGTGCTGGTTCATTGGCATCACCCTAAAAAAACAGGGATGCTTCACTGTTCTGAGATTACTTCTGTCATACGCTCAATAACAGTATTGTCTAAATTAATTCAGTGGGAGCAACAATGCTTTTTCCAACACTTTGTTTTTTCTTAACTTACAGGTTTTCCGAAAAAAGGCAGTGGAGCTTGGAGAGAAATTGCTACCTGCTTTCAACACTCCTACAGGGATACCTTGGGCATTGCTTAATATCAAGAGGTAAAACAACTGCTTTTTGATGTCTAGAGCATATAAAAAAGTTATGTTGAAGCCATCTTTACCTCAGAACTGTTAGAATTGCTGCACAGTTTTTGTCTTTCCAGATAGGTAAAAGCTGATGTAAGAGCCTTGGTTCTACGTTTAAATTGGGAAACTTAAGTAGATATATATTGTATGCACAAGAATGCATATAGAAATACATTTACTCATCTCAGAACTGTCTGTTTTTTTGTCAGTTAGTATGCTGCTCATCACTTTTCCTGAAATCCTTCATTGCTATTGGTGTTGTTATAGGTAGGGTAAGAGCAAAAGGGCATATGTTACTGTGAAAATATAAGATTTACAGCTGCTTTGTACTCTTCGTTTTACCTGTTCTCAAATGTAGTATTGTGTCCTTCCTTATCAAGAAACAAGAGTAATACCTGCTACAAGTGACTTGCTGTTTTGCACCCACTTCTGAGGGGTGGTTTCGCTTTGACCAGCTGTGGTTTGAAGGCAGCTGTGTGTTTGCTGTGGGAGATGCACGTGCTCCTGAAGTCATTCTCCAGTATCTGACTCCAGACAGATGTCAGCAATTCCTTGGTCCATCTCAGGACTGCTAGCGGTTATACTGTGCTGGTAAAGAAAATGTTTTCTTTGCACTGCCTGGGGAAGAATATTGAAAGTTACACCTGTGGGGTATATTTGTGTATTCGTAAGGACACATCAGCTTCCTTCATACTGCAAATAAACCCCGGCACCACCCATCACAAGAGAGAGAATCAAGAAGAATTTCACATGTGCGTGTGTTGGTGTCCTGTTGTGGTTTTTTTGCATGATTCCCACCTTGACAGTCAGCATCTTCCATTGTTCTTGCTTGATCTGTATTTATGGGTGCACCTTTTCCCCAGAGTGGGGAACAGCGGTGTGCTTGCTTGGTTGGCTGTGTTTGCTTCAGGCTTCCCAGGAAACTGCTCAGAGCAAGTCCTACAGAAACCCCTGGTATGTCAGTTCAGACAGGCTTGTCTTCCGCCTTCCTTTCAAACAGAAGTGAGGTGGGAGGAAAAAAGCACATCTGTGTGTAGGAGCAGGAGGGAGTTACTGCCTCCTGAGCTTTCTCATTGTTGAAGGAGCTGATTAACTGCTGCCCAGTAATGATCCTTGGACTTTGACTGGTTGCTTACATGTATGCTAATGATTTCTTCTCAACAGACTTTAATGAGTTCTGCACAAGTTCAGTAGCGCATCGGCTTGAGGTTTGTTGATTATTTGTTTTTTAAACTGTTACAAAAACTTCTGAGTGTGACCTTAGCATACGTTTGTAATTCCAACATAGCAGTAGCTTATTCTACATAGTAGATGCAAACATATTTAAGGTATTTAGGCTAAAAACTTGTCTTATATGTAGCTCTCATCTAGATCACTGCTTGCCTACTAAATATATCAATGGTTTTTGCAAATAGGTCAAATTCTGTGCTCAGTCTTTAGGCTTTTGTTCCTAGCTTCTCACAACTGCTGTGGTGCAGTATAAATGTCAGCCACAGACACTACAAGGTGGTGATGCAAAAGGGATTCATTTCTTATCTGGCACCAAAGTGGAAGTGGATCTCCACATAGATAACTTATTTTGCTCTGTCAGAAAAAGTTACATTAAAGGCTGAGTTCTTGGTTATTCATTCTGAATCCTTGCACATCTGTCTAGATTTGACCTTCAATAGTTGACTCTTCCGTAATACTGTGCATAAACAAATACACCGTCATCCAGGCTTAGGAAATGCTAAGCCACTGAAGCCTGCATATATTACAGATCTAATATGCCTCATTTCTGATTAGTATTTTGTTTTATTTTGATTTATGCTTCAAACTGGGGAACACTCACAATAGATTGTGGATGTCAGTGGTTATTTTTAAATTACTATTTTTGGATTAACAGATCAGCTGGATATTTGTTTCACTATGCAAATGTTCTTCACAAAATAGTTTGTTTTCTCTGATCATCCTGTATCATCATAGCCAGACTTGCTCTGTCCTCGAGTGCATCTGTGTGTAAACAGATATATGTGCTTTTGTTACACACCTTACATACCAAAGGCATCCACCTGGAGTCTTGAACTCTTTCTCTTCTCCATTGTTTTTCTTCATCCTGCTTCTTTCCCCACAACTTAATGACCATGGGACGCTTACTGTCTTATTTGTGGAACCTTAATTATCAAATATATTAAAAAGTTCACTGTAGTTTTCTTTAGCTAAAATTATTTTCCAATTCTTGAGTGTGTCTGTTTGTAGAATTTCCTTTTTTCTCTGAAGTATGTTTTAATTAATTAGATTGGCAGTTTGTACTGTGATTTCCTTTTCTTTCTTTAAAAATATTTCAGTTGCATTTCCGTATTTCTGGTGTTCTTGGTATTGCGCTGTATCGTCAGTTCATCTTCTGCATCTGTTTTTCACTTCTGCTTGTACTGACAAATTTGAAGTTCCTTTTAGAGCTCACTTTCTTGTTTGAGTAACCAGTCTTGTTACTGACTGAAAACACTGGTACAAAGAGAGTCTGAAGAGGAAAAATGTGTATAAAGCAGTGGTAGCTTGACAGACAGGTTTGAGTGTTCTTTTGGGGGTAAGGAGCACCAGCTGGCAAAGCCACTTCATTGTTTATTTCTTCACCTATGTACTTATTTATTTTCCTCCCTCACCCACATCCTTTGTTTAGCTATTTAATCTTCAATACTTCTAAAACAGCAACTGTAACAGCTTCTTAAAATACCGCTAGTTCATGATCCTTTATTTTTCGTCTCAGTGAGCCGTGTCAATCTGGCTTCTTCATGATAAAATTTTCATTTCCCTTTCTCTCTAGAAACTTCAAGTAATTTATGACTCTCAATTGCTTCACTTACATATTTCTGAAATATGCCTGTCAGATTTATAGAAGTAAAATAGGAAATTATAACTCTTAGTGAATTAAGTAATCTTAACAAATATGCAGTTTGCATCATGTTTGCAGGATCAAGTAACCTTTTTTCTGTGTCTATTTATTTTTACCCGTGTAACTATAAAAAAGGAAGCTGTACAGGTCTTGTGTTTATGGGATGATGCTCAGCTGTGAAATACAGAGAAGAACCCAGATAGTTGTTAGTCTGTTGGATCAATCAGGAATAAACTTCCGAGTATAAGATCCTGTACAATATTTTTTCTCTTTTGGATTAAAATTGTCTCTTTATGTCAGTTTTTTCCCCCTTTGAAGCAGACCTGTGTTGTCTTGTGGTCCCTATTAGTTCCAGTGAGACCACATTACTACTTTCTAATGAGCAGCTCAGAAGCATTCTTATATGAAAGAATATATTTTGCATAAAATGTTTGCTCTCTAGATGTTGACCAGTTGAATAGTTGTTTTAAGGTTAGTTATTATCCCTTGTGTGCTACTAGGTAGCAATAGTGTTAGACATTAAGGTGCCTTGCTTTTTGTGAAGAATCAATGCATATATAACCTTTAAATGCACCCACTCCTGTATTTCAGAGCACTGGCGGTGTTTTAGTTTGCGGGCATTTAAAGGAGCTTATCTGTCAGCACCTTCTGCCTAGGAGGAAATGTGGCTGATAAACCAGCCTCTGAGGTATGAAATGTTGATCTTGAGACAACAGAACTTGCTTGAAGATATTCTAAAGTTTCAAAGTAACTCCCCATTTCAGAACACGTTTAAGGTCTTATGTGCCGAAATCACTGGAGCAATAGTGATTTAGGCACATAAGCAATAGTCCTACCTCGTTACTAGACCTCTAGTATTCTTAAGAAAAAATGTAGATTTTAGTGTATAACAGAACGGTTCTCTTTGAGTTTTGGGACTTCTTCGAATACATAATCAATGCACTTAAGAGTATATTCCTTTATCGTTTGTAAAAGAATCTTGATGCATTGGGAAAGTTTGAAAATATGAAAAAGAAAAGATACAAACATGTAAATTCAGTAAACCTTTTTGGACAGTTTAATTCCCCTGCTTACACTATCAGAAATGCCTGAAATATGAATGTTGCATGATTTTGCAAAATTTTCCTAAACATCAAATTGTCTGTATGATATGATTTTCTTTAACAGAATTAGTGATTCATGCTTTTACTTGTCCTAGTGACTCAACAAGCACTCTCTGCAGAGATTCAGTCAGAACAGATAATTTAAATTTTCTGGTTTGCACTATTGATTCAAGTGTCTAAATTAAATTTTAAAAAATCTACAGAGTTAAATAAAGCTTATTCTTCAAATCTGACTATCTTTGGCAAAATAAACCTGTTTTTTAAAGGGGTGTAAAGAGGAATGACTTACATTGTCTGCACAGTTTATCATTGTAGGACGATGCAGAAGTTGTGTTTAGATGGAGTCTTTAATTTTATCCCTTCTGTCTAACTTGGGTGTAATTTTAGAGGAAGGAATCAAAACTACCTTAGAAGAAAAAGCAAAAAGTAGTCTAATTTATATGCTTAGAAAAGGTTTTGTCTGTGTGGTTTTGGCAAATGCTTCACTGATGTCATAAATTAAAGTAGTAATAGTAACAAAAAGGATTTGGATATTGAGTTAAACACAGATTTCCCCTGTAGCAAAACAGACCAATTGAAAGCAGACTGTCCTTCAGGTGTTTGGATCACAGCGTGGATTTGTATTAGCACTGGATGCAAAGAGGTAAATCCTAGCTGAACTTTACCTATCTAAAAATTATTTGGTGTTAAACGTATGTTTTGGGATAGAATTATTTGCCTTCTGGAGATACTGATCTCTTTCCATTGACTAAAGAAGACCTTAGGCAAATTGAAAGAACTAACTTTTTGAATTGAGGAAATGAATTCCATCCTAACTTATAAGTAACCAGTAACAAGGATGGTTTCAGCAAAGGGCACATCTTTCCAGAACTGCCATTTTGGGTGCTGGTTAACCCCTGGATTCGTTGCATGATTCATGAATAACTTTACATTTATTTAGTCAGTACTGAATGCAAAATAAACTTGAAAAACAGTTTAGTGTTTGGGGCACGTTGATA